AGGTCAAGCTCCAGCAGGGGTCCAGATAACCCGAGCCAAGCGGCGGAAAGACCCGCGCTTGGAAATCCACCAGAGCAAGACTCGGAGGCCCAGCGCAAGACTAGATCGAAGCGCGTCCCAGACCTGGTATCCGAGGAGGAGTACAGGGATCACATGATGACTCACCTCCCATTTCGCTCCTGGTGCGACCGCTGTGTCGCTGGAAAGTCCAGGGAAGACTCTCACCCGTTGCGAGAGGCACGGAAGTGTAAGGGCGAGGTCCCCCGTTTCTGCGTAGACTATGCTTTTTTAGGCAGGGCGAGATGCCTAAGACGGCAGAGGCATTGAAGGAGCATGAAGGAGCCCCTTGATGCGGAGGACGCCCAACGACCAATACTGGTCATGGTGGATCAGGAGACGGGAGCGACCTTCTCCTACTTGGTCACAAAGGGGGTCAACAACTACGCCGTTCATGTTATGAACGAGGCTCTCAAGGGTGATTATCATGTCGGATGGCGAGCCCGCGATCCGGGCCCTGGTGGATACAGTGGCCAGACAGGCCGGAAGGGAAACCCAGGTGCAACACGCACCAAAGGAAACACATGGACCCAGCAACGGGGCAGCCGAACGAGCTATCCTAGAGGTGGCCAGGCAGGCCAGGACGCTGGTCCATGCCCTCGAGACACGTTATCCTGGGTACCAACTCATTCGTCACAGTGGGTGGCTTATCACCCGGTTCCTGATCAAGGCTGATGGAAAGACGCCCTATGAACGGCTGAAGGGCCGAGAATACAAGGGCGAGATAGTGGATCCACTGGAAACTATCCACTATAAGATCGACAAGGATCAAAGGGGCAAGCTGGATGCCCAAACTTCCATTGACATTTGGTTGGGTAAAACCCTCAGTGCAGGCGAGCACGTTGTGGGAACTCTGCAGGGCATCAGAAAGTGCCATTCGGTCTGGAGGAGACCGGAGCCTAGGAGATGGGAAAAGCACCGCTTAGAGGCGGTGACTGGCACACCCTGGCAGCCCAAGGGCCAGGCGTTGGTGGTACCGGGTGACAACAAGCCACTCACCCTGCCAGACGGGCGCAAGGGGAGATCTGTGTACATCACCCTGGAGCGCCAGATCAGACATGGCCCAACGCCAGGCTGTCCGGGATGCAACTGCTCTGCAGGAGAAGTGAAGCCACACAGCCCAGAATGCAGGAAGAGGTTCAATGAACTCTACCCTCGAGAGGCCGCAGGCTACAGCACAGAGCCGGGCGAAGAGGGGGCACGGGCTGTGGAGGGGGATGCAATGGACATCTCCGGGGCTGGTGCTTCCGGTGCGGGAGGACCCGCCCAGGAAAGTGAGCCACAGGGTTCGGGAGGAACCGACTCTGTGCAAAGCCGCACCTCAAGAAACAGTTGGCCGACAAGGCCAGGGAGCGGAGAGAAGCCGCAGCAAGCGCAGGAAGAGCCTAAAAGGTTCAGGCTTACACAGAAGGGCTCCAAGAGGACTGCAGAGGTTCCTGTGGAAGAAGCGGTTGCTGAAGCAGCCGCAGAAGAGGTGATAGGAGGCCTCCCCACTCTTCACGAGGAAACGCTGCTTGCAGCTTATCCTGAAGACGGGCTGCTGGAGAGCCAGGGTGCGTTTGACGAGCGCACAGGGGAGGCGCTTCCTGTTGAACAGGTCAAGAAAGCACGTGGCCGAGAGCTTGACAAGATGCTAGAGCACAACGTCAAGGAGGACATCACCTGGGAAGAGGCGAAAAGCCGAGGACTTAAAATAGTCAAGAGCAGATGGGTGGATGGCTGGAAGCCGCTCCCAGATGACCCCCAGGGTGTCCGGAGTCGGTGCGTGGCTCAGGAAGTCAACGTGAGCCAAAGGGATGACGTGGCATCTGGGACGCCTCCGTTGAAGGCCCACCGGATGGTCCTGTCCCATGCGGCTACAAAGGCTCCAGGCGCGCGTGCTAACAAGAAGCTTATCGCCAGATACGACGTATCAGTGGCATTCTTCCATGCAGACTCAACAGGGAAGATTGCTGTGGTTCCACCAAAGGACTTAGACCAGAGTCGCTTGTGGTTCCTGAACAAGGCGATGAATGGAACGCGAGAAGCGTCCAAACAATGGGCAGCAAAGATCCTCAAGAACAAGAAGAAATGGGGATTCTTGGAGATAGAGTCCGTGCCAGGGCTTTTCTATCACCCTGTTCATGACCTCATGGTGTGTTGCCATGGGGACGACTTTCTGGCTTCGGGTGAGAAGCCAGCCTTGGAGCTTACCTGGAGCAGGGAAGGCTACACGTGGGAAGCAGATGGAAAGTACGCAAGGCTCCTCACTCAAGAGCTCAACCTTGAAGGCGGAAAGGGAGCTGACACCCCAGCCTCCAAGGAGACAGGAAAGAACGACAGGTTTGCGGAGGAGGAGCTGTCGTGTGAGGAGGCCAGTGAGTTTCGAAGGCTCGCGGGGACAGCACTGTATCTGAGTCTTGACCGGCCCACGATACAGTTTGCAGTAAGCGACATTACTGCAGGAATGGCCAAGCCGCGTCGCATTCACATGCACCGGCTCAAGCGCCTAGCCCGCTACCTACTCAAGTTTCCGTCGGAGGTGTGGGTCTACAAGTACCAGGAGGCCCCAAGGGAGCTAGTTGTGTATACTGACTCCGATTGGGCACAGGACCCAAAAACGAGAAAGAGTATGAGCGGCTATGTGGAGATGTTCGGATCCGACATGATCGAGACCAGCTGCGCAAGGCAGTCAACAGTTGCCTTGTCAAGCGGGGAGGCAGAATACTATGCCTTGACCCGTGGTGTGGCGGCAGGCCGCATGTCGCAACAGATCTGGGAAATCATTGGCCACAAGCTTCCGCTGGTGGCCAAGACTGACTCGACAGCCGGGAAGGGCATTGCCCAACGAAAGGGCGTAGGAAAGCTGAAGCACCTGGAGCTCAGGGAGCTCTGGCTGCAAGACTGCGTGCAGCAGGGCAAGGTGCAGATCCGGAAGGAAGCCACTGCAACAAACGTGGCGGATCTAGGAACTAAGGCCTTAAACGGCCCTAGGATCACAGAGTTGACCAGGATGCTGCCTCTCCGAAGGGGCTTCGTGGCAGCGATTCTGGCAATGTGTTTGAATGTGGCTGCGGCTCAATCGCAGGAAGAAGAAGCCAGCTTTGATGCTGCAGGCTTCTGGGTGTACATTCTCATTGTGCACCTCTTGGCCCTGATTGGGGGCTGGTTCAGGTGGCAAGAAAGGTTGCCGGGCTCTGCGGTCCAAGCCGAGCGGTGAGGAGAAGGAACTCGTCAACACAGACGGGTGTTACAGGGCAGGTTGCGGCTAGCCCCGCACCTGCGTCACCGTGTGCCCGTGAAGGCCCTACACGAAGGAGGCCGGCGGTTGAAACTGCGGCCGCCAGCAGTAGCACTGGTAGAGCTGAACTGGAAACCACACCTGCGGCTCCCAGTGCTGCAGTCCTGCACCCTAAAGGGCGCCGGGAGGAACTGAACAACAGGAGACTTGAAGACAGACGTCAGGCAGAAGAGCTGGCTACAAGACAGCGTGAAGTTGTTTTTGTAACAAGTAAAGGTGGAAGGTACCACAAGGAAACCTGTGGTGATCTTCGGTATGCCAGGAGGAACAACCCCCGTGGCATTGTACAGTACAGCAGACAGGAAGCCCAGAACAGAGGCTACACAGCCTGCAGCAACTGCGGTGGTTGATTTTTGATCCCACCAAGCACATCCTACGTGTGTCCAACTCCAAATGGAGTGGGCCATGGAGGGGTGTTAGGATGTATAGCCTATTCTTGCCCCAGGTGAGATGCGGATGCTGCAGCCCCTTCGGTTGCTCAAGCAAGGCAAAACAAGTTAGCTTGGGCAGTGTTCTGTGTGGTTTAAGGGTTACCCGAAACCCTTGCATCTGCTCTACACAAGAAGTTGGGGACGCAGCAAATGAAACGATCCAAGGATGGACAACAGCAGCGGCAAGGTCACAATCACCTTCGGGTAGCTTGTCGAATGCAAGGGTAGGGTATGGCCAGGTCAAGTGGCAGCGCAAAGGTTGATCTAGCGGGTCACACATGCTTGCTGTCCTCACTGTCTCCTGTTCATATTCCTCCGCCCTGGTTCGTCGCTGCTAAGTGATTCTGGCAGAAGTTGTTCCCTGCTAAATCTCACACCGACAGCATTGTCGCGGAATCCCGAGGTCGCATATCCGGGACGTCTGCAGTTGTCATCAGTTGTCCAAAAACCGAACTAAGCAGGTCTGAGCATCTTGAGGCAAGAGTTCCGTTTTCAAAGGCCTCCCGAACCAGCTAGCTTGGCCTTGCTGCATGCAGCATGCACAACTCCTTACATTTGATCCCATGCATGGATGCTTTGGAAGTTATGTGCGGACAGGTGATCTGCCACATAGACGCACAGCATTGCTACGGCCTATCGAACACAGTTGCGTTTGCTTTGCTCTCATGTTAGTCTTTCATGAAGGTCGCGTGAGGAAGCACGTCGGGCTTGTCAAGTTGTTGCGGCGGGCACGAACAGCACCTTCCCCTTCAGGCATTTTGAGCAGACATGTCACAGTTTTGCAGCCCAGAGCAAGCGATCAGAGGAGTGCAGAGCAGCGAAGCTGGGGCAGGCAAAGGCGGCAGCAGGCAGATGGTCTGAATGGTTCTGAATCTATCTGTAGAGCTTTGTCGATTTGAAGCGCCTTCACCCCATTGAGTCTTGGTGTCTTTTGCTCTCAGGTGCAGCTCCGGGGCTGCAGTTCTGTTTGCAAGTTGAAGGCCGAGTCCATGGTTGAGCCGCAGGTGCGCATCAGCCCTGCTTGTGATGGGGCAAGTCCTGCTCGGTCAGAGCTGCAGGTGCGAGAGGACTTTGAGGTTATCACAGCCGATGCGCTTCCCGTGAAAACAGGCAGAGGTCGCCTTGCCTTGAAACTCTCTTGCCGGAGCTTACACTGAATGTCTGGGTCGCAGCTAGCAGATTTCGCCTGAGGTTTCATATACCTATGTTCCAAGAATACCATGGTTCCATCTGGGCTGCTGCCGTTGGTGGTGCTGGCAACCTACTGCAAGCAGGAGGCCGCAAAAGCTTGCAAGTCCGCTTGGCTAGGCCGGTGTCTCGTGGACGGGATTTGGCTGAAAGGCCCAGCAGCGCGCGAGCTCGCCATTGGAGTTCAAGCTGAAGGTCCGCTTCCATGGGAGCTGGGAGGAATTCAGCTTGCAAGCCCATGATCTACGGGCCCCTTTCTCAGAGCTCGGTGGGAAACCCGGCTGGTGACCCAACAATAGAGCACACGGCCGAGGTCTTCAGCGTAATTGAAGAAGTTCGGAATAATATGGACAAGGCCACCAGTACATGCGGTTCCGAGGCTTGACGCCCATCCAACTGCAGAGCAGCCCAGGAGTTTGGCCCACACATTTCGCTGACGCAACGCAAGCAGATTGTTGAAGGGCGGGCTGCCAGGATCTTAATTACATGTCGTCGGTGAGGCGCATTGGACCTGTGTGACCCTTACTCATAACATGTTGCTGGATGAGCATTGAGGCATCTGTTCGGCGGATGATGGACCAACTGCATGATGGGGAACCTCCAGTGCGAAGTATGGTTAGGCCAAGCCAGGATTTTGTGACGAGTTTGTTGCCCTCTTTGAATTCTCTGGGGCTGCAATTTTGATGCCAGAAACATCGGCATTGGTAGGGGAAAGAGAATCGCAGGAGTAGGCCGTGGCGGCAGCATCTTTGTGAATTCGATCTGGGAGATGTCGCCCGCATTCGTCGGAAAACTGGGTTCCTGCTGTCTGTGTGTGTGTGCGGGTGTCTGAGTCTGTTTGTTAGCTGCCGGACTTGTGAGCTGCTGATTCTGTGGATTGTCAGAATGCTGTATCTCTGTGGTCACCTCCAAGCGAGCTGCCAAGGATTTCTGCGAAGCCCGGATTTTTCTCTTTGCTACTTGTAGTAGCCGACCGCAGTGAGCCTCGAATCAACTAGACGATCCTTGCGAGGTAGAACGACTAAGCCATCTTTGTTTTGTCAGAGGTACCTCTGCTTCTGTAGCGCAGCGGGTAGGCCTAGTAGGTAGCTGGCAAGAAGCTGTGAGGCTGCATTCCGGTCGAGAGAATTAGCGTTGTTATTAGTTGCTGCCGCGAATTCCTTTGAGGGTAGACATGCAATGTTAAGAAGAAGGCGATTGACATGTCGTACTTGGACGAAACAGTGTCCAGTGTGCGACAGAACACGCAATCAGTCGACTACGACATGTATTGAACCAATTTCGAAAGCGTTGCATGATCGTGCATCATGGTTTTGGCTCGAATGAATGCAGTAGTTACTGTACACTGTTTGAAGGCCACCGAAACCATTTCACGAAATGGCGTGCCCAGGAGAGTTCTGTAGCACAGTAAAGCAACGAGTCGAGAAGTATAGGTGTGGTTGCAATACGTCCCTTAAGCATGCCGAGAAATATCATGCTTGTTGACAATATCAAGTCTCTGCACTTGGAACTGACGTGGCCATAGCCCATCAGCTGAATTCGCAAGGCGCCGTTGCGTCTTGAAATCGCTGTCATCAAGACACATTATCGTCCTACTGTCCCATCCCTTTGTGAGACAGGCCACCCGGCCGCTGCTCAAGTCCATGCATGTTTTGCTCACTTGCGGAGGCGCCGCACTAGAACTTCCTTTGCCTCGCATGGTCTGTCCCGGATCGTCTGACAAGTTTGTCAGGTCTGCTTCCCAAGAGCGCGCTTGGCATTTCGGTGGCGCTGACATTGGTTTGCAGCATCCAGGCCTCCTCCCTGGTGGCATTCATTGTTTGGCTCGTTTTAGGACGAGGACGCAAGTTAAGCAGCTGAGCTCGTGATTTTGGCTGTGGGCTTGAGGGATCAATGTGGGTGTCGTGTTGGCACTGTGCCTTTCCCTCGCTGGACATGGTCACAGGCTGTTTCCAATGCGACGGCGGGCTTAGAAGTGGATCTGTCATACAGGGAGGCAGGGGAGCAGAGGGCTCAACAGCTCCATTTGTCATTGCTTTCGGATTCAGGCTTCGTCAGCTTCGTGGACTTGGGCGGCTCACAGCCTCTCGGATTAAGTTGACCACCTCCATTTCGGGTGCAAAGCCTGTCACATGCTTCCCAGGTGAGCACAACGCACGATCCAACGTGGCCAGATCCTTGAGACTAGGGACGACATTGCTTGCACTGCTCGTACTGCTCGTGGTGTCACGGCAAGAATCGCCCCCTTTCGCCGCCTTTTTGCCCAAGACGAGTGGGACAGCGTAGGACGTCAAGGGAGGAGCGTTGCTCCCTAGCAAGAGCGTTGTCAGGATCATTTTTCTGGTGGAACATGGCAAACACTGCTTCGGGTGCACGGCTTAGGGGGTTTGATCCAGGTGCCGTTATGTGTGCCACTTCCTCTCGTGCTGACTAAGGTTTCCTGGAGGATGCTGCTTACGACAAGTGCCTTGGTTGCAATATCCAGGTCAAGACAGTTGCAGGCACCGGGCTCAAGGAATCATGTTTGTGCCGCTGAGGATTTTGTACGTGAGCAAAGACCGGCTGGAGGTGGGGTACTGAGTTCGGCCAATCATTGAAGCCAAAGCTCTGCTTGCAGACTTTCAGGCTATGAAAAGCAAGCTCAAGAAGAAAGCAGCGGTTCGCGCGCTGCAGTATGCGTGAAAGAGAGTGCAGATTTCTTTCATTTTCACTTGCCACGGCTACTCAGGACGTGACCAAAGAGGACGTCAAGGCTTTGATGCCACTTGTTAGCACAGTGCCTGTCGGTTCAATGGAGTTCATGCAGCCTCTAGCTGTGCTTGTATGTGTGTCGAATGATTCCAAAGTGTCTCTAAGTAAGGTATCCAGATGATATGGAGGATGGCTCCATGCTGGTTCCGGTTGATGTGTCAGGCGAGCCAGAAGATTTTCCGACTACTCCTGAAGAGCTCACGGCGAAGGCCACTGATGCCGCTGCTCTTTGTAGATCTTCAGACACACCGAGTGAATACTTCGCCTTGCTGCGAGCAGGTCGAGCCCAAAGCGGCAGTCACAGCTCTGATAAAAGCACACGATGCATTTGTGCCTCGGCGAATCCACAGAGCTATACAAGCAACTATGGACCTTGTCGCGCGAAACGGCTTTGTTTGCTCGGAGGAGAAGAGCAAGTCCAAGTTCAGCAAAGACAAGCTCTTCGGCTGTTGACTGTTGATAGATTTCAATTTTGGATTGCCCATTTGTGTCCATGTATGTTTGACCGATGTCTGCTGTGTCTGTTGAAGTCTGCTCTCGACCTCATACTGACACCAAGGAGACCCATTCCAATGACAGTGGGCAGCTTTGCCGCAGCTGGGGCAGTACTATCAGTGCTCCACGCACGAATGCTCCAGGTGACTGGCTGACGCATGTGTCCATGGAGGAGGATGGTGGTGAGGAGGGCGGAGAAGAAGAGGAGCTCGAGACAGACGAGGCATTTTGCGGTTGCAGTTTTTTCTGCTTGCCACCTTGTGCTAGCCAGGTGATCGAGCCATCGCCAATGAAGAAGCGCAGAAAGCTCTGAAAGCATCCTAGCGTGAAGCATCACTGGGGTTGGACACACCTGGCAGTCCAGTGTTTCGTTCTTTTAGATCTCGCTCAGTTCGGATTCGGATTGCTTTTGCAGCAGAGAGCCTGAGTGTGTCCAGTTGATCGAGGGGAATGCCGTGCACATGTGCAACATGGCATTCAGATGTCTCCGCAAAGCGCGTGCTGCGCGACAGCGGTTGATGCGCTGGTGGGGTGGCAGCGCACGAAAAGCCGGCTTGATCGGGATGGCTATCGCCTTCCACCCAGAGATTTTCTGTCTAACTGCCTTTTTTCTTTAAGGTCGTGGCACCAGGTCAAGTGACTGGCCATGCCGCGAACTCACTGTTGTCGATCAGATGGTCAGACGGTGACAGTTGCAGCCTGCCTGCAGGCCCGCAGGCTGCAAGAGGCTAGGCCAGATGATCGCAGCACCAATGAGACTAAAGTCTATTGTAGCAGGTCATCACCAATGAGCCCTGCACTCAGCCGGGATCTGCCCAAATTGTCGCGCATGTGTTGTTGAAGGGAACATCGCCCGCTTTGCCCAGGCTGGATTATACCCGAACGTCGATTTCGTTTACCTTTCTAGATGATGTTGAGCCGCCGCTGCAGTCATCAGCTCAGGGGAGCATATAAATGAGCGATCCATGCACTCTGGATTACTTGAACAGTCCGCAACTCAGGTGCCAGCCCAGCGACTGTCAACCAACTGCCACCGGCATTTATGCGGGTGTGACCATCTCCCAGGTTGAGGCTGCGTCATGCATCGCCCACGACCCCCTGTGTTTGTTCAAACATATCTGCGGCGCCCAGATTATCATTGACCCTGACACCTTCAACGCACCTGCTGCGAAATTACGAGTAGTTTACGATGAAGTAGATCGGGTCTGGGCCTCGAGATGCCAGGCTTGCCCGGTCTGCAAGGAAGCAAACGGAAGCTGTCGAACATGCGTGTTTGTTTGGATAGAGTCGATGGCTTGTTTTGACAGTTTTGCTTCCGGCCAGCGCTAAGACTTGCAAAACCTCTGTTTGGAGAGAGGCTCTACCAGAACTCCAGATTGCAGCCCACTTCGTGGAGTCAATTGTCCGTCGTTGTCGCTGTTCGTGCTGAAGTCGGGGAAAGCATGTTCCGAAGGGTTCCGAATGCCGAGGCCGGTGCCAATCTTGGCCAGTGCCGTTATGGAAACTTCCCCTACGGAGCGCACTCGGCGACCGTGAACCAGCCGTGGCTCATGAGCTCAGAGGGAGCTCGAAGCATTTTCGATGCGCTCTGACTCTAATCACCGATGAGAGCCTTGCTTAGGTCTGGTGTGGGTGCCTCCACGATCACTCTAGGCCCGGATGATGAAGATTCTATCCCGCTAGTTACTGCTGCAAGTCTGATGTCTTGCGCAGATGGGAGTATGCAAGCAAAGATCGATCTGGCAACCTTTCTTCCACTGACGCCACATTCTTAACATGCCGGCAAGCTGAAGTGCCTGCGAAGACATGATTTCAATGAAATCAAGTTTTTCTGCCAGGTTCAAGATGGGGGGCATCTTCCACTTGTGCTACTCGGATGATGGTTCCTTTGATCCTGGGCACACGGACATCGTGCCTCAACGCATAGAGGCGAGAACCGGAAATCATGTGAGATGCTCTGACCTCTAGCCGAGCTTGGATCCAGGTCTACGGCATTTATGATACCCGTACCGAGTGCGCCGAAGGTTGCCCTGGCTTGTCCGCTTTCATGCTGAACACTCTCTGTGTGTGTTCGTGTGGCATGTGTGTTCTCATTGCGGGACAACTGCACATGCCTGCACACTTGCACAGATGAGACGTGTCTGACGAAGAGACCATACAATTGCTTCTTGCGACGGCAAGCCTACAACAACATGGAAGACGTCCGGGTCTCAGCATGCTAGCTTGACCGACTGCACTTGGCCTTAAGCAGCACAAGCCAGTGGAGAGAAGCCACACACACACACACACCAATAAGCATTGTATGCGACCCACCGGCCTTGTTGGTAAGGGCGGTGCAAGGAAACCGGCTCAGCCCTCGTGTCGGGAGGATCCTGCTGATGATCATTCAGCTGATATATATATATATACATACATACACACACATTTATAAGGAAATGCAAAGAATCTTTCCTTGGAGCGATGATGGTGGTCTTGGACGGGCGGGGGGGGGGGGGGGGAAATCTCTCCGCATGTTCTCAGAATGAGCAACAGAGCTTTGAGGGGCTGCTTTCGTAGATCTATTCCATACTTGTCGGGGGCCCCACCGGTTCACTCGGGCCGGGTCGCTTATTGCCGTCACGGCATCTTTGCTTTTTGAAAGTCGTCTGGCTGCTGCTGCTTGTCTCCAGCACAAGGCTTATGATGGCACGACATCTTGTGTCATTGATTACAGCTACGACGGAGCAGGCGCTCTCCTAGACCGAGGTTCTCTTGGAGGCATGTACGTGAAGCCTTCGCCAGGCTTCAGAGGACTTCCTGGCGGCGGCAGAGGCTCCTGGACCGGTGAGTTTGCCACCAGTGCCGCACTGAGGTGATCTAAGAATTGAAGCGGGCCCTAGTAGCGGCTTAAAGCGTTGCCTACCGAGATTACGATTCCAACGGCATGGTTACAACGGAGATCTTGCGGTCGTGTGGCTCGAGTGGTGTACGCAGCCAAGTGATTTCAGATCGCCGCCTCCATTTGGCCTTTTAATGTCTTCGCGATGTCTAAGTTGGGCGACTTCCCTGCTGCATTTCTTTGTAATGCGGATGGTCAATGTGGCGATCTGGCCACGAGGGACCGCCTTCTTGTCATTTTGTGTCGAGCCTGCCCTTGGCAAGTTTGGAAACAGAATTCCAGAACACCTGCGCAGAATCCTTACATCGTTCCGGACCCGGTGCACGCTTACAAGCGCAATCGTCTCAGTTGGCAGCATTCAAGCAGCAAGGACCTGCGATGCCAGCGAATGCAGAGATTTATTTTCCGCCTGAGGGATGAATGTTCCTCCTGGACGGCCGGACTTGCAAGGGCCGACCTTCAAGGCTTATGCAGTTGCAGCAGGAAGCCCAGGAAGCCCAGGAAGCCCATCAAGGATCATCCCATCGTCGCATGCTTCTTGAGCGTCACACGAGCTGAGGCGTGCTACTGCCCTGATTTCCAGAGATGTGACTCCTTCAGCCCCGACTACGTGCAGCAGGTGAGAAACTGGGCATTGCACAGGGCCTAGGGCCAGTTCGCTGCAGTGTGTGTGAGCAGGTGGGGCTACTCTACTTCTTCGCGACGAAGGCTTTTCGACCTTCCGATGACCTGTGCTTTTGACGAATTCCCGTGAAGGTGTGCCCCAACGGCTTCGAGGCCGTGGCATGCGCGCTGGATTTCACAGGTGCATGCATGGTCGATGGGTAGAAGAGACCTGGTGGCATCTTGACTTTATCGGTTTATCGCTCCGCTTGAGGTGCTGCGCCGCAACACCGATTCGCTTCATCCTTAACTCAGGGCAGCCGGCAAAAGCACTTCATGTAGTGGAACGGAGGGGGCTGCAAAACACTCGCTTTTGTCAAAGCCCGGAGGCTCTGAAAGTGGAATGTCCGAGCACGGCCTGCAGTTTTGCAGCGACGAGCCGCATCAAAGTGGTGATGCAGGAGGCCGGCTTGTGCCTTCGACTTCGTGTTTTCTGTCTGAATTGAAGCCGAGGCCAACAACAACCTTCCCGCCTGGGACCCTTCGTCGGGATGTGGCGCTGCAGTCCATGGCATCAACGCGATGGGTGTGCAGGTGCGGTTTGGTGCGTTGTGTCCGCTATGTCGACTTAAGAGATCGACTCCTGGGATTTGCGAGGTTTTGCCATCAGACGACAATCCGGATGTTGTGCAGAGCTTGGCCGATGATGATACCCCGGCGTGCATCTGCGGTGCTTGACAACCTCCTGAGGCTACAATGAATGGCGGTATGCGCCAGGACATCAGCAGTGTGGTTCTTGCTGGCGAATGTAAGCTTACACATTTTGGGGTTCCGTCTGCGCCAGGACTACAAAATCTGGAACTTCAAGAACTCCTCCACGGGCCTGATCTTTGACACCAAAACATCTGGTTTCCAATTCAGGCCAGATCGCAGCGTCTCTGAGATGATCTGCAACAACATGCGTGTGGAAGCATTGTGCTTAAAACGTCACAGTGGGATTGGCCAAACCCTGGCTCTGCACGCGCGCTTCGCAACATTTGGGCTCTCAGCGAGCGCCGGTCCCAGTTTTGTTTGCCCGGCCGGGCTCTCGGGCTCTGGGCCGGGGAATGACGACTCCTGACCTTTTCACGACCGCACCTTTGCTGCAAAAAAACCCCTCTCCGAACGCGAAGTGCCCCTGAAAAGCTCGAGGTTGGTTTTGAAAAGAGCAAGATTGGAGCAAATGCTTGGGACTCGGTTGCTGCATAGAGGCATAGAGTGTTCAGAGAGAGAGAGAGAGAGAGAGAGAGCGAGAGAGCTCCGAGGACACTGAGCTGGGTTATGCGCCGCTCGGACAGAATCCACTCCCGCCGTCTTCTTTCCATCCTGCCTGGAGACATTATGTGCAGCTTCCCTCAGGATCAAGAGGACGAGATTGATTGGTTTGCTCGTCGGCAGTCTTGGCTGTATTGGGATCCTCGCTCTTGTCGGCGTCTGGTCGCAGTTTGAGTCGAAGGCTCAGTTCTTCAGTGTCAGCCCCTGACACTCGTGCCGACTAAACGTCTTTCGTGGAAGAAGCTCCGGCCAGGATCCATTTGGAAAGGAGGAGTCTGCATCGAGAGCTCCGAAAAGAGGAACATCATGCAGCCTCAAAGTTGGCGCAGGCCAAGCAGCGCTACTTGTACGGCAACATGTGGCAACACTTTCCGCCCTTGCAGGTCGGAATGGAGCTGTGGTCCGAATACCGAGACGACATCCATGAATCGCACGAGGCCCTTTCGGGGAGCCGTCAGGCCATAATGAGTCGTTCTTTGGATGGTCAGAAGAGGCGCAGATGCTCATGAAGCTGCTCAACGTGACGTACCAGAGCTTCGAGGTGCGAGCATAGGCTTCAATGTGATCATGGAGGCGCCGATGATTCTTGCAGGCTCGGGTGAAAGCCACCGTGGATGAAACATCCAAAGATCTTGGCTTAAACAAAGAGAAGGCCCGGATGGTGTGCCGTAAGCCCCGGAGTTTGCCATGTCGCTGGACGGTGCAGGCGGCCAAGCTGGCTGACACGCTTCTGCATCTGGTGAGGATCTTAGTGGTCGAAGCTGACTCAGCTGGTTGTCTAATGGTTTTGGCCGTCCGAGGTTGCTGACCAGCAGCAGATGGGGCTCAAGCACACCAAAAGGTCCCGCCGTTCCTGGTGCATCCGATTTCCGACGTGAAGAAGCCCTCCAGGTTGGTGGATCACCTAGTCGAGGCCGGCAAGCGTGCCGTCCCGCTGGAAAAGCACACAGAGAAAGAGGCCCGGCCCACTTGAGCAGGTTTCCTTTTTTGTTGCTTTGTCAGCAGTGGCGCGTGCAGGTGTTGCAGGAAATGCAGCAGGAGGAAAAGATGATAGAAGAGGACTGCCATCGAATGCAGGCAGCAACACTTACATGCGCCCCCGTCCTGTCAACAAGGAGGGTGAACCTGAATATGCCCTCCCAGGCAGCGGGTGGAGTTGACGATAAGTTCTCGGGACATGCTCTTTAGTGTGTGAAATAAACAGTCCTCAGGTGACAACGAGACGGGCGGCGACCCTTTGAAAGGCACCTTGACAGCATGCGTAGAATTCGGCTCTCTGTTTCAAACACCTGCGATTCGAGCCAACAGCGGCAAAAGCACGTGAGCGAGACAAGCGCCAATGCGACTGAAGCCCCACGATTCAAGAAGGCGCACCCGATTCAAGCACCAGCTAGCCCTAGGAATTTGGGGGCAGGTTTTGTTTTGGAACTTCGGATTATGTTTTGATTTTGAGGAGTTCGCCAGGCCGAGTCTTAAGGGAGAGTAGGGTTTTGGATTTGGGGCTTCAGGTTGCGGCTTGAGGGCTTTGGGGCTTCAGGCTTTATCGGTTTTGGGCCTTGTGGGGAAATCGGGCCTGGGGTATCAGCAGGCCAGAAGGAGTTCCACGGTTTGGGGTTTCAGGTCTTTTTCAGTTTGGGGTTTTTGGGTTTAGGGCTTCCTGTTTCTTGAGGCTTTAAAGCTGGGGGTAATCAATAGCTCAGGAGGGCCGAGTCTTTGGGGTTTTCGGGTTTAGGGTTTAGGGCTTTAGGGCGTTAGGATGTTTTAGGGTTTAGGTGTTCTGGGGATTAGGCCTTAGGGTTTTCGGGTGTCTACCCGGTGCAGTTGGTGCTCGAATCCGGCACTTTCACCTTGCCCCCGTGTGTGATCCACGGTGTGCGAACACTTGGGCCCATGTGTGAATCGACTGCTTTCATGTCGCGAACAGGCATCCTACCCAGGTAGCCAGGTCCTGGCAGTGTGCATGATCCGATTGGGTTCAGAAGCCACCGAGGAATGCTAGAAGGCTTCTTCTGGGTCTTCAACGACTACGAGAGGACGTCCGTCCTGTGTCTTCTGCCAAGCCACTTGTGTGAGGCTTCCGTGCGTTTTGAGAATCGTGTTCGGCAGGGAGTTCTCGGGAAAGCCCCGTTCGATGCTTCACCCGGGCAACGCAGCCTATGATGCTCTGAAGGTCGGAGCTTGTGAGTCTCGGACCGCCCGTTTGAATCGACTTCCCGGACAGTCGCTCGGCGACAAGATGAACGACCTGACCGAGGCACAGATCGCCGAGGAGCCTTCACCTCAGTCTCAGAGAGTCTCAGAGAGTCTCAGAGTCTCCCCAGAAGGACGGAACGGGCACTCTAAACCCTAAACCCTAAACGTTTGGGGTTTAGGGTTTAGGGTTTCGTTTCTCCGGCCTCAGGTTGGACAAGATCGACCTGTCGGTTGTGGGCGCCGGCCTCGGCTCTGGAAGGGTCTTGCCGGCAAAGGACATCGTGGAGGAGACCGTTAGACGCTTCCTTTAAAGGGGAGAAAGCCCCCGAGACTTTCCTTCTGCAGGAGCTGCTGATGATCGGCACCATACCACATAAAGAACTTCGAGGTCTAGAGGAGGCACGGCTCACAAGTTTCGCTGCGATTCTCCGCTTGACCGCTGCCAGCAGCATGGGAGGCCTGGAAGTCAGGGCAGCAGGACTGCTTCGAGCTAGCTCTGCACCTTCAAGAGCATTGTCACGAAAGCTAGCTCTTCTCAAGCTTGCGGCTTGCGGCACAATGTTCTGGGTCTGGGTCGTGAATAAATTCCGGGGGCCTTCGAGTATGAGGGACACACTCAAAGCAAGGTGCGGCACACGGCTTGCAGGGCCATCAGTTTGCTTCGCAGGCTCAGTCGAACTGTGCCCCCAAGCCTTGCCGTCATATAGGTGGGCCTCAGCACTGCCATCACGCTTCAGTCCGGCATGCCACGGCCAACACAGCAGTGTGGCAGTGCGTTAGCTTGAATCGTGGGCGATCAGAACACGCCACCTCGGTTTCTATGTAGGCAGGCTTCAGTATGTTGCTTCCTTACCCCTAGCTTTCCTCGCCCCCTTCTCAGGTATCTGAAAGCGCACGGCACGAGGGTTTCAGCCGACACTCATGCGTATACTCTTCGGGAGGATTCTGTGCGGATCTTCGGAAGGTTGGCCGTGGCTTGGATTCAATGCAGAGTCCTGCTGCGGTCAGGGACCGGTGCAGTCCCTTCGAACCTAGGCCATGCATGAGCAGCACAAAATCCCATCTGGGTGGCTGCAAAGAGGCATCGACGAGGAGACAGCTGTAATTTACTGGCCCTAGGGGTTGGAAGGGGCTGGCAGCTTCGCTGCATACATCAAAATATATCGTATGAGCGCAACAAGCCCATACGTCTTTCGCAATCCATGTCTGGATGAGCACACGCATTTGAAGGCATTGCATAGATTCACAATAACATAGTAAGACAGACGTGTTGTGCACTTTTCTGACAAGTAGTTTGTGATCCAATTGTATAGGAGGCACTACGAGGACATCGAAAAGCACGCAGGAAGGCAAAGCAACTACTCGTAGATGGCAAAACATCTGCACGGAAGTGAGATGTAGCGCGAAAGTGACGGTGTTGTTAGTACTTTTCTAGCACAAAATTGAACCAACAACAACCCTGTGACTGTCTAGACAATTATAGTGGCCCCGGCGTTCGTACCTTTGCTTATTGGCTTGCTACTGTTGAGTTTTGACCCGATGGATGTTGCTTGAAACGTTACCACAATGTTTTGGCATTGCACAGATGGGTTAGAGTCGCTTCATCAGACGCATCATCTCACGAAGGCTGGATGTCCTCTTGTTCAGGCTCCCACCCCACTTGGAAGTGTGTGCTGGTTTCGGCTTTTACCTCCGCAGCGGCCAAACATCTTGGGGTTGTGTCTCTGCTTTGGTCTTGGCAATTCACTTCGTGTTTGCTTCTTACGGTACTGCATCTTTCAAGACTGACAGCGGAGACACATCCTATTCTAATTCTCATTAGCGACACCGAGTCCCAACTATGTTCGAAGAATGCTTGGGGTGCTACCGCTGGTTCACCAGTACTTGCAACTGTGCTTTCAACGTCTTCCTCGGCAATGGTTCCATCCTTCGTTTTTGGCGCCTGGTAGAACCCCCTGTGTTCATTTCATCCTCGCACACACACGCAGGATGAAAGGGAAGAGATCGCCGAAGAGGAGCAAGCAGAGAAGCTCGAGGCGGAGACTGTGCACTTCGTTGGATGTTGACTTGCGAGTCCGTGGCTTTGCAGGGGGAGGCGGCAAAGGCCTGATCCAGCATCATGCTCACGGAGAGCAGCTAATGACCGACAGGGACATTTAGTCCTGCAGTGGATACTGCTTTTGTGCGAAGAGCAGGTCAATGCTTGTAATGCTGTAATTTGCAGGATGAGCATCGCGAAAATTGGAGCTTTGCCTGTTCTTGTCGCCACTAACACTGTCTACAGTCGAAGGACATGTGGAGCTCTCCAAACCCTTCTGGTATCGGGTCGTAGGAAGAAGCAAGCAGTCGGAGCTTTCAAGTTCTGATTCGAAGAGTTGGGCGAGCCAACCGGGATGATTGCCATATGCTGGGCGACATTTTTCCTGCCCGGCACATAAGGGCATCTATTGTCCTTCTAGCAGGACACAAGTGGGTACCGAAGGGATGTGACCATTGTTTTCGCAAGAAGCTCATGCTTCACAAGTAGCCGTAAAGTTCACACCAATAGCCTGGCTGTGAACTTGCAGTTGGAGAGGATGAACCACGAGCGGATATGTAGCTTGTCCTGCAAGCTTTTGTGAGTTATCTTCCTCCTCCTCTGCTCATCACAGCGCAGGGCACCAGTGCTTGCAAGGCCGAAAAGTTTTACAGGGCCGTGTGCGTCAGAAGCTGTTTAGCAACATCTTGCCTTTCTACTTGAATGCAGAAGTAGATGATCGGAGATGTATGATCATCCATTCTGTCAGGACGGGTCCCACAGATCATGAGCTTCGCAGCCGCTACTCGGGAGAGACCTTCGACGCACGGCGCTCGGCATGGGTCTGAAGTAAGCGGGCCGAAAGATGCTGGGACACTGATGAGGTCTGCTTCTGTGATGCTGGTTGCTCTGTCACCGCGAATTGGTTCAAGGCATGCCGACTTCAAAGAATTTTTCGCGTGTCCTGGATTGAGAAAGCAAGAGGTCGGTCAGCTGCGCTTCGCCCCCTTCCAGCCTGTCAGCGCAGCCTCCAACGTCTCTGTCCTGTGAAGCACTTAGTGTGCAGTCCCGCTGTTCCCTTGCAAGTCGAGCCACTTGTGCCGCACGTGTCACAGGCAGGACGAGTTTATCCTTGAGTACATGAACACTCCTGGAACTTTCGGCTTCTATCGTCCATGGGTCCACCGGGCGCTGGTTCTACGTGTTAGGGAAGGCGGAACACAGTTTGCCTACTGCCAGGTTGACTACGGTGTCATGGGCTTGCAGGACCTCTGAGTTCCACATCCGTTCAAGTTGTCGTGTTTGGCACACTGAGCTCAGCTCTGCATCGGCTTCTTGGCACCTGCTATCGCTTTTCAGGAAGGGGGTGCTTTGAAGCTGGTCTCGGACCCTGACTTGACCATGACGGACGAGGGCTGTGTCTCTGCAGAGTCCACTGCCCGGATTGGATCCAGGGCTAGCGCCAGCGATATTTCCCAAGCGCGTGTGCAATTGCAAGCTGGAAAACACTCTCCATGTTGTAGGTACAGCCGAACCTTGGTGGACCCCAACACGATGACCATCCAGAACGTGCTGGGCTCAAGGCCGGACTGCACTGGCTGCTGGGCAACCCGTGTTCCGGTCGAGGCAGCTACAGCCTACAGCGGAAAAAGCAATGCGGCTGCTGATGTGAACAAGCCGGGCTGTATGCGTGTCTCTCTTGCGTGTCTCTCTTGCGGGGTGGGGCAGAGAGCGAACTGGCAGGCTCATGTTCAACAATGCAATCATGGCCAACACAATCATCGTGAACCAGGCTCGGCTTTGTGGTTGACGCGGCTTTCGGGGGGAGACCGTGAGAGCAGCATGGGCTGTCGGGCAGGCTGGCTTTGTGGCGGTGTGTTACTGTGCACGACCGGTTGAAGACACCCCTGGAGCTGGAGCTTCAGTTGAGTGCTCGCTGAAATCGTTGGCAGCCTCTGCATCCGAGCGGCTAAGGTCTGTGCCCACGACCAGTGGGTTGGAAACTCGGGGCGTCTCGGGGCCTCGCTGCCTGCGGCTCCCTTTCCCTTCCGACTCTGCTCTTCGTGTCTTTTTTTTTTTTTGAGGTGATGGTGAATCGCCTGACAATCAGAGGGCCAGGCCCAGGCCAAAGCTCCTCGGCTCGGACGCAACGAAAGACGCAGCGAAGCACCGCAGACGAAGCGACTCTCAGCTCCGTGCGTCCGAGGTTGGACAGTCTCCACGAACGTGACCTGCAAGCAATGGCTGTCTTGCCTCTGACACGATCGGGGCATAAGTTGCCAAAGAAGAGAGTCTGTGTGTGAGGTGGTTTTCCGGATTGAGTATTCCGGATGGGGTCTGGCGAAGGCTGGGGCAGGGATGGGATTGGTGCACTTCTGTTTCAGCGTGTCTTCGCAGGAGCAAACTCGGAGTCATGCAAGCAAACAATTCATCGCAGGATGACAAGGTTCGCATCATCCCGGCCACTTCCCAGTGCTCCGATGTGAACGGCAACCCACGGGCCGCCTGGGGCGCTGCGACCCCGGAGGCGTAGGAGAACTGCAGAGGGAGGAGCGCTGGCACCGCTGACGACGTGACGAGCCTAAGCCCTGACTCCATGTCTCCTGAGGTCACGAGCATCAAGGTTGGCTGCCCGCATCCGTGCTCGGAGGCCGGGCTCCGGGCTCTGCCGACGAGTGCCTCCGCGTGCCTCGTGTGCAGTGAAGGTCGGTGAGATCAATGACGTTCTGAACGGAGATATCTCGGCCCAATCCTCTGCAAGAGTTTCTGCGCAAACAAAGCAGATGCAACGGCTTCTGCCAGGTTGGTGTCCTTTCATCAGACTCCTACATGTGTGACATCCAGAATGAAGGCTGCCGAACCAACGATATCAAGGCGACTCGGCTGAGATTTCCCCTCTCTGGGAAGTGAGTGCACTGGGCGTTTGGATCCACAGCTCCGACATGGTACTGCTCGTCTACCTTCAACAGTCGGCGAGCAGTCATGCCATGTTGGTCCACTCAAGCTCAGCGGCGCATTTGTTGAGATGGTTCAGACTGATGAGGACGTCAGTATCAGTGCTCCCATTTTTTCGACAGGCCGTCACAGTGATGGATGAGTTCACCACAGAGCTGGAGTTCGAGGTTGGCTTTCAAGCGGCTGTAAATCTTCGGCTCGATTGAAGATTGTGGGTGGGCTTCGAAGCTCTGCGGTGGAACACTCAGCACGTGAATATGAATACTCTCGGCATGCATCGTTTTGACAGGCATCCTCCACTCTCTCGGATGGTGACTTGATCACACTGGGTCTGGCACACAGTTTGGGCTGTTGTTTTCTTTATGTTCATGTCAACATGCTGCCCAGGGGAAAATTTCATATGTGCTCCCGGACAGACAGACGTTGTCTCGAACTTACGAAATCTATGTGCGAGAACAGCTGCCACACGATCTTATCAGGTTGCCAGCTAGACATGTCCTCCAATGCAAGCTAGAATACCATGTCCCTGTCAAAGGTTTGCAACCACGAGCGTCTCTCTGTGCTCAGGGTGCGCATGCACAGAAGATTGCAGGGTGCGTTTCTTGAGCCGCATAAGATGTGCACGCCAGGGTCGGTATGACCTCGCGGACAGACTGGATAACCACAATTCGGCCCCGAACGAGTACATTGCAGGTCGGGAATTGCTGTTCGTTTCGAGCTCTGTGTGTGCAACCCCGGTCAGGTCATGCTGTGACTGTGGATCCCACGGATTCCAAGAAGGCTCGTACCCAAGCAGTCAGAGTGGCCAAGGCATTGATCAAGGTAAATCCCATCAGGTGACCATTCGCGTTGGCTGGCCCGATCCGAAGCCGCAGCTCTGTGCTGAGGTCTGCTCTCTTTGAAAGCTTGGTGCCTTTGTGACTGGTGACTCTTACGGCTTCATTCCGCAACCCGCATTCAGCCTTCGAAGCAGACAGCCATCCGAGAGCAAGCTTTAGAAGGTTTAGTGACGCAGCAATGTGTCAGTGAAAGCCTCACAGTAGCCTTTAAAGTCCGTGTGCCATCGGCGGCGATTGCCGCCGGATGAGCCCACAGGAGGAGCCGCTGCCTTCAAAGTGTGAAAGATAAATGTATCATAATGCGCCACCTGCCTGCAGTGATCTGCAGTGGTACCGTTGCTTTGCTTACATGCAGCCCTTCAGTTTGGCTGGCTCTATCATTCGTGTGACCCTGTTACGAGTTTCGCAGTTGCAAGGAGTTGCGTGTGGCAGTCTCCTATGGCGCGCTCGAGCCCGTAGCTGCTGCCTTGAAAGCAGGAGATGCCTGCAGCTTTGTGTGGCGATTCTGAGACAGATTCTTTGCGAGGAGCCAGCGTACATGAGCCTGGACCAGCCGGTGGATGGCTGCCTATACACACGGCTGCCTCCTGTGGCAATCTTGGCACCTCGATTTGTCAATCGTTTTCTGGCATGCAGCCTCATTGGCGGGGCTTGCGTCAGGATTTGACGCGCAGCCCAATCACGGCATGCCCGAGGCATTCTGAAGCTGCTCATAGAACACGAGGCAAACATCCATCAAGCCACTTCAAGGCCGAACATGCATATTGTCTCGCGCCATGCCGCTTTGAGGACCATTCGGCTGGAACGTGTAGAGGGTGCATTTTCTGCCACTTCGTTCCCACCCGCAGGTTGGGTGCACAGCCGCTGCATCTAGCAGCAAAAGAGGGTCACGTGGACGTGGTCGAGTTTTTGCTCGAACAGCGAGCTGCCTGCTGCTCAGCAAATGTCCAACGTGTACGGATGCCCACGCTGCTAGCCTCCATTCCTCCTTGAAATCTTGGCAGGATATCAACGCCAAAGACAAGAATTGGCAGACGCCAGTAAGCCTTGCCTGCCAAAAGGGGCGTCTGAAGGCCGAGCTTTTGGCATGTGGTGGTCAGGATCTGGTTTGTTGTCTTGAACAGGTCGTGGATTTTTTGGCGGATTTCGACGCCGATCTGACCAGCTGTGACGAGGGCAGAGCTACGCCTTACGATTGGAGTGTCTGTGGGCTTTCCTACATTGGTGACAAGTACGAGAAGCTTGTATGCAGTGTTGCCATGTCTCTTTCTTCTGTTTTCCGTCTTCTTGGAAGACCCTGCGCGAGCATGCTTGCCCAGCTTTTCAGTTCCTTTGAGACGAGGGAATACGAGAAGATCTGCGAGACATTGCAAAGGCGAGGTGCGAAGGTGCCGCCGCCCTGAGAGAAGAAATAAGAGTAGTGTCTTGAGCTCCGTCTTACAGTTGCTCCAGGTTCAGGGAGAGAACTTGGGACCGCTTGAGCGATGCCCCTACCCGTCGAGCCAGCATCTTGGAGACTGGCCTGGCAGCTTTGTGCCAGCGATCCATAATGCACTCAGGTCGTGGGCCTGCCAACTGCTGATTCAGCGCTGAGCCGCCTTTGACTTCGGCGAAAATGCCTGAAGCAGCAACTGCCCGATGCCAAAGTGCATTTCATGGGCCAGCAGCCATGCTGGCCGTGCAGAATCCTTTTGCTCCTTGCGGAGCTGTGCAGACGGCGAGTCTGCCGATCACTTGTCTCGTGCCTCCCATTCGTTTAGAGCCGCGAAACACGTCGATCTCGGTTCTGCATGCCCATCACATCACTTCTGCCAGCCTGGTTTTGAGTTGAACTGCTCAGGTTTACAGTGCAGTACATCAACAATCGCCGAGGCCGCTGGCAACGGCACAGCAAGGCCCCTCTGCATTTTATAGCCCGTAGTACAGCCCAGTATCGTTTCGATTCATACCGGGGTTCTTCTAATTTAGAGCTGGCTTCAAGATGCCTGCGGCTTTCAAGGGTCTAGGCCGACAAGGACCCCGAAACAGGACAACAGCCTCCCATATTGCAATCCAGCCCGAAAGCATCAACATCCTCTTGTCCTGCTACTAGATCTTCCGGGTGACATGCCGGCAGTGCACACGAAAGCATTGCAGTGTGCTGCACGGGGATGCGAGTGTACTGTAATGCCGTGCACGGTGGGCTGGTCCTTGACGTCATTTCATTGTACGCCTCTCTGCTATGCCATGGTATGCCCTGCAATCTTACGAGAATTTGTCTGTATAAGTATAGTTCAACGCAAGTGTGGTGTACAACTTACCACCTTTTCATCCATTCCACTGTGCGCTTCTGTTTTCGTATGCATGCAGCTGACATACACTGGTACATGTGCATGCGCGCAAGCATGTTTCGTTTTTTTTTCATATGTAGGTCGCTATGCATACACACTGCATGCGTGACATAAATGATGGTAGGTGTGCGTGCTACATTCATGCGTGGTGATGCATACATGCGAAGTTTGCATGCACCTGGATCGTCATGGAGTTATATATGTATACATTTGTCCTTTAAATCTCCGTTGCCTAAGAAGCATGCATGTATGTGTGTATGCGTGTATGTACGTGTATTATTTATGTGAGTAGGTAGATATGTAAGCAGCTAGGCAGGTCGGTCGGTGGGTAGGTGGGTAGGTGTGTAGGTACCTATGTGTCTACTGATCTAGGCGGTTGCATGCGTGTGTGTGTGTGTGTGTGTGCGTGCAATCAATTCAAGGAATTTGCCGGGAATGGTCGTTTTCGTGTCCAATGCATGTGATGGGACAAGCTCCAGGAGCGCCGCTTTAACATGGTTTTGAAAAGACATGCCGGGGCCAGACGTGCCTTGCACAGAGCACGGCCGTCCCCTCCTGCCACCGTCCAATTATCGCAGGCTCGGGCGATCAATGAAATGGATGCAGCAGCAGCGCGTGGTGATGTCGTGACATCTGCCTGCCACTTCAATCAGCTTCGACACACGCGTCTATCAAACTCCTCATTTCTGTGGAATTTGATGTTAAAGGCATACGCCTGTGCTGGTGATCACAAAGGGGCACGGGAGCACCTGTGTCAGATGCTAAGCTTCCAAGTCCATCCGACGCACCGCACATTCGGAAAGGTGATGAAAGCTGCAGCCAGACGCGGACTCCCTTCGGAGTCTGAGAGGGCCTGGCGGGAGTTTCTGCAGAGTCTGCGGGCTGCCAACTATGCGCCCTTGCAAGATCAAGATTTCCGGTTGAAGGTGAACATGATGGTGGATGCTGCTGCCAATGCCGGCGATGCGGATCGTGCTGTGTACTGGCTCAGCCAGCTAGGAGATGCTGCCGATTGCTGGAGCTATGCCGGTGTTTTGAAAGCCCATGCAAGCCAAAGTAATGCACGGGAGGCAGTCAGTTGTTTACAGGAGATGCGAAATAGGCGTCTTACACCCGATTCAGTATGTTTCGTTGCTGCCATCACGGCGTGTGGTCGGAGCGGCGATGTTGATGGAGCACTCGATTTGCTTCAACAGATGGAGCACGATAGTGACAGCTCGAAAGCACGGATCCAAGCAGACCTGGATGCTGCTAGTACTTCAGTAGTAAATGCTTTTGCCAAGTCGTCTAATGTTGCTGGTGCGGAGGAATGGTTAGAGAAGAGCAGGACGACGCCTACATTGCAGATGTATCATACTTTGCTTGACGCTGCGGGGCGTTCTGGGCTTCCACAGCGTGCAGAGCACTTCTTTCGCTGCATGCTTGCAGCAGGCCATCAGCCCTCTGCACAAAGCGCAGGTGCATTGATTGCAGCGGTTTTGGGTTCAGAGACCTCACTATCCGGTATCCACCGAAAGTCCAAGACGCAGCTCGAAGTGTTGCAGGGTTTGAATCTCGGTCTTGAGAAATCCGCTCCGGTTCACTTGGCACTGACAGACGCATTCTCACGGTGCTCCCTTTGGACTTCTGCTCTGAGCCAGCTGAGCACTATGGCCGGGGATGGATGTGCTCCATCTGTGCAGGCCTACACAGCAGCCATCACAGCTTGCGGCAGAGCTTTGCAGATATCCAAGATGAAGCACCTATTTGATTTCATCGCGGACTTGCGATTGCACCGCGACGACGTGGTTTACGGCTCGTGCATCCACGCTGCTGCGAGGTCCCGAGACCGCTCGTTGGCCGAAGAGTTGCTTGAACAAATGCTCGGCGAGTGCCTGGAACCGAACGTGAGGACATTGCAGAGCCTGCGAAAGGTCATGTCGGTCGATGAATTTCAGCACAGAATCGCACGTGCTAGCAGCAAAAAGCACTATCGCCCGTTCCGGCCTTAGACCCAGCCCTGCAAGTCTGTGGTTTGCTTGTTGGTCAGGCGATCACAGCCGAAGAAATCATGGGCGAGAAAGAAAGGCAAGCGTTGGCGGATTGTGCAGCTTGGAGTTCGGGTTGCATGCACGACATGTAGTGGTGCGCCGTTTAAGCGACATGCACCGGGTAGAGTTAAAGCCAGTGCGGCTTGGGCCTGTGTGCAGACCAGTCCAATGGCCGAACGGCTGACTTTGCTCCAATGTGGTCTTCAGTGCTTTCGTTTGGAGCAATACAGCTCCATGTGCCAGGATTGACATGAAGGTCTGCTGGAAGTACACACCTGCCATGGGTGAGTCGGGTCCTGCACCGCGGCATGTAGCGGAGGCCTTGAGCATTCGGAGCCTTGTGACTCTTTCCGGGATGCAATTTACTGGATGCACTCGGAAATTGCCTTGACTCTGTTGGGAGGTGGGCACCCTCACAATGCTGGACCCGAATGCCATGAGCGAGTGTCTTGTAAGTGCTGACCTTTGAGACATCATGTGGTCATTGTGGTCCGTGAACATGGTTCTGAGTGCATCTGCATGACTCGCTTCAGGCCTGACCACGCTGGTGAAGAAGCAGATGACGCCATATGCACCGATGATATTATCGTTTAGGCCAAGGCCTCAATAACTTCATTGACAATTTGCCGCGACGAAAGCTGGAAGCAAACGCAGGGCTTCGGACCCTTGCCCTTGCCGTTTCGCACGGTTGTGGCCCGTGCAAGCGTCGATAAGGACGGCCACGGCTGAGACAGGAAAGCGATACGAGTCGCTCGAGGCGTCTTCATGCTTGCACTTTTCATTGTTTTTGGCAAGGGGAGCCGCAAAGCTAAGACATGCTAGCAATCTGCAAGCAGCGGCATTCATGTGAACTTGATCTTCCAGGGCCGAATGCGCCTCAGGATCTATTTCGTCAGGACCACGTCTGAGTTCGCGGCCGGTTGTTGAAGTTCTAGTCCAGAGCCACAGTGCCAGGACAGTGGCATTGAGAGCTACGTTCACAGATGGTGCGATCATTGAAGACAATCAGGTGCAAGCTCTGGTGTTGTTTCGTGTGCGGTTCGTGACGTTGCGTGTTCACTTGGCCACTCTGGCATGTCTTGGTTCGGCACCATAGGGAGAGCCTGACATGCAGGGAGAGGACGAGCTAAACGAGGCCCGACAGTGCGCCACCTGCAACTGTGTGCACTTCTGGGGCCACTGATCTCCTCGGTGCCTTAATTGATGTTCCTCACTTCGAAGCCCAGGTACATCTGCGGCAAGCTCTTCCGGGAGGTGTGGTCGAGTGATGAGGAGCTGGGCTTCCCGATGCCCAGAGGCGACTAGGGGATTCCAGGGGCCACCTCGTTTGAGTTTCTCTGCTCTCCGATTTCCGCTGCCTCTCCTTCACGTTGCAGTCCGGTTTCCTTGTTTTTGATGTTTCGATGCTTTGCCTCCTCACTTTCTGAAGACAAGAACTTGGCATGCATGCGATGGCGGGATGTAGTTTGAGAGGCTCGGGGTTTCGGGGTGCTCAATCTTTCAACCATTAGACGGTGTGCGCTGGAGAAGCCTGGGTCCTTCCTGACTTTCCACCTGTTTCCAATACCAGCAGTCTTGTCCAAGCCTGCGGCCAGACGACAACCAGGAAAACGGGCTGCGACAAAGGTAAAGCCAACCTGGCACCTGTGCTCCTGACACGATCTGCAACTTCGGTTGTTTCACAGCAACAAAGCTCTTAATCGGCTTGCACCGCGGCATTTCTCTTTGGAGCCCCGCTTCAGGCTGCTACTATCGAACCTATGGCCAGACGCAGGACGTGACGCATGAGCTTCTTCTGCTGGCATAGTCGGTGTGTGGGTGTTGGTGGATTATGGTGGGGGTGGAATCTGCGCAGGAGCTCAACATGCTATTCGATCGAAAGAACGGCCTCTCTCCGGGCAAGTACTACCAGGCCAGCCTTGAGGACACAATCGCCAGTGCTTCGACAAGTAAAGTTTACGCTGCTGGGCAGGTTGTGCTTATGGGCGTGGCTATGGACGAGGCCAGATTGGGTATGCCCTTGCTCCTTGAGCAGTAATGGTCCACCCTTTCCCTAAAAACCTAGTCTGGGCATTGCCTGTGCATCACTGACTCTTTACAGGCGATCCGCGACGGGGAGTACGTGCACATCTTTACGACAGATGTCACGAGCTAAGCTGTGGCGAAGACAGGGAAGTCAAGCCATGAAATGCAGCATTGGATTCTGTCGTGTAAGGACGTGGACCTTCACCCATACATCGCCTTGGAGCGCGGTATTGCAACGCTCTACAGATCACCACAGGACAGGTGACTGATGCATCCCTGCCTGTGTCGGTGCTGGTATCGTGCTTTCGATCTGTGCTCCTGAGGACCCGGCGTATGGTTCGCAAGGTGTGAAATTTGCCGAAACCGACGGTGTGAAGATTTCTAGCGGCTCGGGCACGGAGCTCCTTGTTGGCATGTAATGACCCTAATGCCTGTGGGGATGCTGCTCGTCTGCCTTGTCTTCGCGCTGCTCTTGGCTTGACCCCCCCACCTCAGGATGCTGGAGCTGAAGGGTGGCACGGAGCGCATCTTTGCTGTTGCCGTGCAGGGAATTTTCGACTCATGGCGTTTGTGTGCAAGTATGTGCTCCTTCTGCAGTGGACAGAACAACAAGGAACAAGAAAAGATTATGCCATAGTTTGCCCGGCCTTTCCCGTGCACGGAGACTTTCAACTTTGGAAATGGATTAAACAGCTTCTTGCGTATGATCGGCCGCGAGGAGTTGAGACTTGAGCTCAAAGGCGATCCTTTGGGAGGTGGCATCTCCGCGTGCGGTGCTATGGTTTTGGTGGGGCACGAGCCCCCAGTTACTCGTTCATGGCAAAGCCACCACACTCAGGTCGGCAGTCTTGCGATTGTACCTGTGGCCTTTGACGCAGTGGAATGTTGCCAACGCCTGCACGGTCATGTGCATCGCTCACGACCAGGCTCCCGTCCTGTGCAAGGCCTAAGTCCCGGAACCTGAAATATCGCGCAGTCGTAGAGGTCTCGGCACCCTGTGGGGCAGTTCAAGATTGCAAGGGTGATGCAGGGTCCTCGGAGGGCTGGTGAGTTGGCTAAGGTGTCAGACAGCTGTTGGCTGCTTCAATCACTTGAGGCGATCATCCCCAACTTCCAGCAAAACTTCCTGCGCATCGTGTTGCCGTCTGCCATGGCAACGATGACAGAGGTGCTTTGTTTGTCCGGTTGCTTGTTTCCCAAAAGAGGGCGGGGGTCGTCATGAGCCAACGTCTTGCTAGAAGAGAGCAGCCTGTTTTCTGACCCTGTGCAGTTTATCAGCCACACGCTTGTCTTCCCGGATTTGGTGCTGCCCACCGGTGGTTGGGCACTTGGAGCTGCCACCCCAGGCACAGTTACAGCCCGTGACGCGCTGCGCACCAGGATTCTTCTCCACCCGGCTTGCCGCGCAAATCTCCAAGGCTGGAATTTATGTTAGATTTGATGCTTTTTTAATTGACTTTAAGACTTGCAAATTAGGTGGCATGCGTCCCCAATCCCGAATCATGCGGCCTTTGCAGATCCATTTCGCGACTTTCGCACTCACTCCGAGCCACAGCCAATCCCATAAGACTTACGTCCGGGTGGAGACACATTCTAGTCTAGTCGTGCGGCCGACAATGCCAAACCGGACATGGCTGCAGACAAGTATCCCAACATTCTAAAGATGATGTATGAACGTTCGTTTTGCCGCAGCTACAAAGGCACTAGTTGCTAATTCCTGCCTGCTCAATGCTAAAGTCAATCACAGCGTAACGACAATATCAGCTGAATCGGATAACCAGTCTTGCACCCTCTCACGCGCAAGGGGATCTGATACATGTGGTAGATTAAATTTCATCGACGCGAGAAGCCCGGGAAATTGGTCCAGTTTAGAACGCACGGCTTCTGGGCATCATGGTCGTCAGGTCAGGAAGTCTTGGCGCCAGAAGATTAAGATGCTCGGGGTGGACTCACAGATTCCTTTTCCGTATGCAAGCTGCAAATAGCGACCAGGGCTGTCTCTTGCTTTTTGCTTCTTTCGCGGCATTTGGCTCAGCGTCGAACGGCAGAGCTCAAGCCACAAGCTTCGTCATGGCTGGCGTGCAGACAGTCCGGGTGGCGCCTGCCTTTATGGGCGAGCAGGCCACATATGGCCCCGGCTACCACGGTGGCCTCGCACCACCACCAGAGTGGTGGCTTCAGTTTGTCCGCGTTTTCGCTCCATGCCAGCTGGCGCAGCTGCAACAAGCCTACAACAACACCTGGGCTCAACCCTGCCACTGGCCAACGCACCAGTCCACGTATCCTGTCAAGCCCACCCCGTATTACTCGGCACCTACAGCATTCGCACATCAAACACCCTTTTGCCCGGCTCCACCCCCGCATTACTCTGCACCTACAGCATTCGCACATCAAACACCCTTTTGCCCGGCTCCACTGCCACTTCACATCCACCAGCCTTTCCCGCAGCCCCCGGCTTCACATGCACAGCCATCCCCAATCCAGCGCCCTGTTGCCACTCCCACAGGCGCATGCCGCCCAAATCCAATCCCACCATTGACATCGACTCCAGCGCAACCTTCGTGGGCAGACTTGTCCGAGGAGTTCGCTCCAGTTAACCAGACGGACGAATTGCCCACTTTGCTTCCCAAGCCCAACACGGGCAAGGGTAAGGGCAAGGGCAAGTCAAGCAAGAAGCCAAAAGGCAATGGCAAAGGCAATAAGCCTCGCAACGGCTTCAATCATTCCTGGAGCTACGACTACTACAATTCGTATTGGCCCTGAGAGACGGGTAGCAAAAACTTCAGCCAGTTGTGTCACATGAACGACCCCTGCGCATGACTAAGTCAGTGCTGCTGTCACTGAACTGAAGGACGACCGGTTGTTAAAGATTTCTCGTAGCGGATTTACTTCGTCGACCTACTGTCTGTGGACGAGAGATGTGGGGTGACAAAGCCTCCCCCGAACGGATTTCCTCGATCGATGAGCGACCTGCTGTCTGTTTAAAAACCACGGCAATGGCAGACATCTACGTTGTAGGTCAGGCTGAACTTACCGTTTGCCATGGCGTGCAGTTGCCACAAAGCGAGGCGGACGACACAAAGCCTCACTACACGGAAAGCAGTGGAGATTACATCCACAAGATGCATAATGAAGGTGTCATTGCCCAAGCTTGCTAGAGATTTGATGCCGAGGGGAGCTCACGACAAGAGCGTGTGATTCCGATGCTGCTTAGGTCGGTGTTGGCAAGCTCGTAGAGTTCTATGGGGATGGCGACCAAAGCCCATACCGCGGGGACCGCCGGGCCGTCGACTCGTCGACTGACTCTCAAGATGCCTGGCACAGACTTGCACGCAGGATGACAGAAACATCCTGTATGCAAATGTGGTGCTGCCGTCCACTCTCTTCGCAGCCGTACAGACCGGTGATGTGCTCCGGCAGCACCGGTACGATGTTTGAGGATGCAGCTGAAGGTGTTGGTTAGCATGTGCTTTTCATTGGTTCTGTGCTTGCTCAGGCTTACATGACGTTGACATTACCCACGGGGTACGAGTGTGTGCGTTTCCCAGCCAAGCAGATTCTGTCCATCCTTGTAGAAGGCAGAGTGCCGGCCGTGGTAATTCTTGGCAGGTTTATCAGATCAATTTCCGAGATTGCAGATGTTCGTTGCATTGCAAGGTGCGAACTCCAGACATCAACGGCGAGTCGCCATGGCGCGCGGAGGAAGCTTCTAATGCGTCAAGGAAAGCACGCGCGGGTGAGCCTGTGCATCTTGCTAGGACGACTTGGGCGTCTTCCAGGGCAAGATTCCTCAGGGAACCGGCTCACCTGACGAAGGGGGCGGCACAAGGTGCGAGGAGAGGGTTGTTCCTAGATGGATGTTCCTCGAGTGCCCGGCCGGCAAGGGGTTGGTCAGTCAACGCAAACCAATGTGTGCTCGGCTCAATCCGATGGACATGCGAAAACTGCATTTGCCCTTCTCGCGCAGTTCCAAAGCGGACACTTTCGTGAGGTGTACACGCTGCGCCAGAATGCAGTTATCTATGCTGGCAGCTCCTTGTATATACGGGAGTGGCTCTTAGAAAGTGTGACTAGACTGTTGTGCATGAAGGCTGTTTCAGCAAAGAGACTCGCCAAGGTCACTGCCAACAACCCTGACACTGCACTGCAGCGGATGGACCCAACGAACCGTTGGCAGGTGCTTGTTGATGGAGTCCGCGAGCAGTGGCAACAGCAGACGCCCGACCAGGTGTCGCTGACCAGTAAAGGCTACCACCAGTATGAGGTCACCTTCCCTCCAGTTTCTTGGTCTTGCATAAGAAGTTCATGCAAGCATCGACATCAACAGTAGCATCTCAATCAGGTGACTTTCAACACCGTGATGCAAAACTTCAGCTCGAACACGGCCCCAGCCTTTGACCGTGCTTGCAGCAGTATCAACGAGGCCTGCGCAGAACACGGGTATCGCAGGCAGTGCTGGGAAAGATCACGCAGCCACTGATAGTTCCATCGAACTGGATGTACTCCGTGGGAAGCTTAGGCTTGTCGCACTTCGCCACTGCTATCTTTCAGTTTGTGTTGCTACCAAGGAGGGAGGGGTTGTCATGGCACAGGGCTTCCTGAACATCTTCTTCCGGTCGGAGCAGGCTCACGTGAAGTGCCTGCTGATGCTGGCATGTCGACATTCTGTGACTTCGCTGGCATGTGCTACCCGACGCCGTTGCAGGGCACAGGTGTGGAGTCATCGGTGCATGTGGAAGCGCGCAGCTCGTGGACGTGACTTCAGTTATCGCTGTGCACTAGGCTCTTGCCAGCTCAGGCGCCGGCAGGCTTCTCTTTCTCACCGAACCCTTGCCGAGTTCAAGACCTGGAGGAGCTGACCGATTCCTTGAGCTGTGGTCGAGTTGTAATTTGCTTGGCTTTGCTGGGCAGGACGTGTATTATTCCACTCCAGGGCAGATGGGATCACCGACGCACCGCTTACCAGGTAGGACCTGGTCAACTCACGCAGTGCCGTGTGGCTTCATTGAGGGACGCAGCAGCGCTTGCCATGCAGGCATCGTCTCATGCGATCACCGGAGCTTCCCCTACAACCATGCTGCTGTTAAGCTGACGGGTGCCATCTTGCCCGGGTCACGGGAGATAATTACTTGTGCCAAAACATGGTGCTGGAGTGCCTTTAGAGCTGCAGCTGCAACAGGTCGAATTCCAATTATGCATTTGGACTCTGGGTCTCAAACGCAGAGGCCGCGCGAGCGACTGCCACAGAATCTAGACCAGACTGCCTTGCTGCCACTGGATGCTCGACGTTTTGATCAGCAGAGCCCTTGCCGTCTTGGCCTTCTTGGCAGGTGTATGCAGAGTCGCAGAGAACCGGCTGGAGGTGCGGTACAATGATTCGAGATGTCTGTCAATTTGGATATTTGCCCCTGCCGAGGATTTACACATTAGACATGAACGACTTCAAGGTGGTCGCGGCCTTGAGCCAGAATCCGGCATCATCTTGGGCCGAACGAAGCTGAACTGTAGGATGGGACGCCAATGCCGATTCCTGCATTGGCACACACAGCGACAAGTCTGACGATGCCGGACGCAATGCTGAGTTTTGGACTCTACCGGGTGGCTCTCTCGCAAGCGAAGCGCGCAAGATAGTGCTTGATCGTTGCGTTGGCGTGAGCAGAACGCAGAAGACCGTCGTGCCAACCATCCCAGGCACAGATCAACACACAGACGACCCTCAATGTGCAGGCCTTCTCGTGACAAGTGCATGTTCATGGGGACTTGCAAGTCAGCCTGCATCGGCATTCGCCGTTGTGTGCTTCGCAGGTGTCCATTGCAAGCACTGTTCCGTATACAATGCTGCGTGCCGAGAGCATCATCGGATTTCATCATGTCATGAGGTCTCTAGTCATCAGAAAGGGGTACTGTAATCAGCATCCTCCCCTTGAAGACCAAGGTCGATGCAGAGAACATGGGTGACGGTCCTTCCTTTGAGGGCCGGGCTCCTGAGACCTCTGCAGGGCTGCGGTGACATATACTCGGCTACAGAAGGAAGGCAGACAAGCGATAGCTAGAGGTAGAAGTCAGACTTTGCAAGGTCGGAGAGCAGATCACCTCGACTCTGAGAGTGGGGGCCCCGTCGCTGGCCTTCGTGCAGGATTCGGATGCAAAACCTGCAGCCTGTGCGAGGTAGCAGCACCCATGGGGTCAGCTTCCAAGTGTAGAAGAACCTGAGATGCTGTCTTCAAATGATTTGGGCTGATCGCAGAACGATGAGGCTGCCGGAGTGCACACTGTTCAATGCACCTGCCAGGTACGAGTGGGATTTCGCGAATTCCGAATTCCGTCACCTTGCTCCCTTCCCGAATACGCCTGAAGCCCAATCGCGCGCTTGTTCATTCAAGCGACCATTGCCAGTGAGCGCAATGTTGATCCGTGGGATGTGCAGCAACAGACAAATAGTAAGGACGGAGAGCCTCTGGCTGATGGGTACCACGGGAACGCTGCCAGGCAAGTTGGTATCACTGGATCACTGACCTTTCGGACCTTTCTCTGCAAGTGCAGAGGCAGATATCCGCAGCGGCAGGGAAACGTCTTGCTGTGGAGCCAGGCCATTGTGTCAGCTGCTATGTAGCCTTTGCGATTTCCGCTTTTGATGCACAGTCACACTTGCAGAAGAGCTTGCGCTTGCAGATTCGCAGATTGAGCTGGGCTGGTGGCAGTCCTCTGAATGAACGCCTTTGCTCTCCGCAGGCGAGGATGTATTGGCCCAACGAGACATACGGGTCATCCCCGCCATGGTTGCTGTGCTGTATGCTTCATGTACTTCCTTTAGCTGTGTGCTTGGCAGGTTTCAGACCTACATCCGCGTCCCCGACCGGTCGGGGCCTCTGCAGCTCGAAGCCAGTGGCGGTAAACCGGCCCCTGAACCTCAGGACTCCAAGTGCCGCTCCGAATTGGTTCATCTTCGAGTTTGGCTACGCGAGGGGCTCAGGATCAGAGGCCTGACATGCCACAGAAACGCTGCAAATGGATGATTTTCCTTGCCGTGTCTGTGTTGGGCTTTGGGCCGGGTTGCGGCTTGAGTAACTCTTGAGTCATTGCGGAAACAAGATGTCACAAATCGGTCATGTGATGGCTGTGTTTCGCTCGGCTGAGCCCGAGAATATATGAGCTCATATGTCGGACAATGAGAGGTTCTGCACACTGCTACGAGCGCAATGCACACCATGTCTGTCTCAGACGGTGTGACTAGCTTACGAAGAGAGCGGCGCAGCTGTGGCTTTGAGCGTCATTCGAGTCTTTTAGGAGCGGGCGTGCAGCAAGGTTTTGACGACGTGGGTTCAGGGTCCAAGAAGCTGTCATGAAGGGACGTCAGGGCTCCTCCGCAGCAGCTCAAAAGGCTCAAAAGCCCGCCATGTCGTAGACCCCAGCGATCCCCAGCTTCCTCGTGATGCTGTAAGTGGGCGGTAAGGGCTCAGGGCCCCCCGAATCTGCTGTTGTATTGCCGTCGCCACCACGGAGCACTGGGACGACCACGGCCTGGAGCACCTCCTGTGCTGGCTGGAGTTTGCAGAGCTGCTTCCATGTAGTGTCGTGTCGAAGCGATGGTGTTCCATCCTCTTGCCTGCTGGTCGTCCGACTGGCCTTCCCTGGAGACAGGCGGTGGTCTGGTTGTCCGGGTCCTGCTTTTCCGTGTGTGAGGTCCAAGACCAAGGACTAGTCGCAAGATGGCCTGGAATTGAGGTTTTCCTGCCTACTCGCGAGTTGTCGGACTCCCTGGTCGCGTTACCTCTCGGAGCTCGGCCCATCGCCGAAGCCTTGCCGATCCAGTCATGGCCAGGGATCGACTGCAGGTCGCTGATCTACCAAACCTTGAGCTGGTCGGTCTCAGCGTACACGCATCCTGAGCGGTCAACCTCGAACAGCCGTTTTTTCTCCGGAAAGTGCCTGCCGCTTTGCCCTCTCTGTGCTGGAGTGGCTTTTTACCAGGGCTCAGGGTTCACACGTGCCGATATTGCGACAGGATGGCATGGCTTCCTTCTGTGTAGCCTTGGCCCATGCTCCGAACGGAGTCTTCTTCTCCCAACTCTTTTCGCAAACATGGGGGTTACTGAAGACATGGTCCCAAATATTGCAGTGCAACTTCGCCCTGCCAGCGGGGAGGAAGAAGAAGAAGCTCTAGTTGAGGATGCTACGGGAGATGTCGCGCCGGGGCTCGATGCCCGCGGAGAGATGGGGATGGAGATCATAGACAGCTTCTCCACTCTTTGGCGAGGTCCAAAGAGCAGCATGGCCCAAAACATCATCAGCATTGCACTTCCCTGCAGTTTTCGTCTGCGAATAGCTGGCGTTTGCTTGGCCGAGCTTGGAGTCATGGCCTTCTTTTGCGAGCAGGTGAACAAGACGGCCTGTACATCTCGGACCCGTGTGGGTCGATACTTAGACGATCAACCCGCGAGGATGCCCCGGGCGCATGTCTTCGGAACTCGTATGGCAACTTCGTACGAGGCCTGGCCAGCTTGGCTACCTCCGAATTGCCTGAAATCCACCGAGGCTGATTCATCCGAGCCATGCCCATATTGCGGGGCGGGTGGATTTCTCTTGAACTCTGCAGTCCTGAGCGTCTTGTCGTGGGAGGCCGAGAAGACGGCCTTGGCTTTCCAGCCCGTAGAGGCTGAGCAGGCATTCCATGGAAGCCTATGGGTTTGCAGTTCCCACTTGTGGGGATGGAGATCGCGTCGCGCGGGACTTCTCGTGACAAGCGAGTGATTAGACTCTGTTCGAGAAGCGTGGCTTCTGCTGCCAAAGATGCGCCAGACAGGAAAAATAGAAAGAAGCGCCTCTGTGCACACAGTTCAAAAGGCATGTTCCTGAGGATGCTGTTGCAGTGCTGTGGTGCTTGGCCTAGGATGGCAACTCGCTGGCCACAAGGCATGCAGCTTCAGCGGCTGGCGGCCGAGAGCTTCCACACAGCTTATGGAAGCATGGGGCCATGGGCACTCAGCGGTTTAGATACTGGATGCCAAGGTGCCGGCTCCGGAGGTGCAGTCGTTGACCAACGCCGCCATGGAGTACAACACGAATGTGGAGGGGAAGGCGACCAAGATTTGCATGAAATCGAAGTCTTCAAAGACTTCCAAGTCTCCTGAAGCAAGCACCACTGGCAACAAACAGAGCAAAAAACAAGCGGGCAGACGAAACAGAGAATCATTGGCTTGTCATGGAGAAGAGCAGACACGCATTGACACCCGTTTTGTGCCGGGCACTGGAGTTTGGGATGGTGGTTAGGGTTCGAGGCTTGCGAGTTCTTTGTCTCGCGCCTGTTGAGGATCCATGGTTTCGGGACTGTTTTGGGTACCGACAGGGGGCAGAGACAAGTAAGTAGCTTTCTAGGGTTTGGAATTAGGGCTTCAGGGTTCAGGGCTTAGGGATGTCTCATTCAGACTTCTCGGGGTCTTGCGTATCGCCAGGCGGGGAGAGTTCGGGCTTTAGGTGTTTATCGCTTTAGTGGTTTGGGGTTAAAGGGCAGGGATTTCGGGTTGGGGGTATCAGGGCTTTCGGGTGGTCAGGGTTTTGCGGCTCTGGCGGTTTATGCTATACAGCTTAAGCAGGGTCAGAAGCGTCTTCACTTTGAGTTTAGATTCCACTTTGTTTTCGGATCTCAGCAGTCAAGGGCAGCCGAGTGTTAAACTGTTAAGGGTTCAGGGTTTAGTTTCTGGCTGTGAGATTATAGGGTAGCACACTTAGGTGCGAAATGACAACTCATTGCTTTCATCAATCATCGATCGACTCCGTGTATGTACTTGAGTCAATCACTTCGAACTTGTTGCATTCCGTTGCCATTTTGGCATAAGCTTCGAATTGTAACTTTTCTTCTACTCTGTCCTCGAGTTATTGCGAAGCTATGGCTACACGGCGAAGCAACTCTTGGTTTAAGTTCCTCGGCGAGGGCAGTATCGCAGCCTTACCTGACAATGCATCAACTCCGCCGAGCATGCTCGCGCAGTTTCCCGAGGAGGTGAGTGATCCCGAAGTGATCTATTTGGCACGATCGAGAACACGAGCGTGCCCCGGCTACATCAGGTCCAAGAACTGGAACAATCGCACCAGTTGCAGCTATCTCCACCCCGATTTCACGAGCCACAGTTGGGTGGTCCCCGATTTGATCTGCCACAAGTGGTTTCAGGGTGTGTGCGCATTTCCCACGATCTGTTGGAATCAACACGGTAACACCTTCGATGGAGCAATGGGAGCTGCAGCACGACTTCAGAAACAACTCCGTTGGTGCGACATTCTTCTTCCGACCAGGCATTTATCTACCTGTTAGAGGATTGGGCCGCGATCTTAGTCCCGATGATCTTCAAACTTTGGTTGGGCGGTCTCCACATTCAGTGCTGCGAAAATGAGGCATCCAGGCATGCACTCATCAAAGGGGTGGGCAAACATCAACCACTCAGCTGTGTTGTCGCGACACATCGGACATGACACAATCGCCGCGGGTTTGCGCACTGACTCGAACGAGTACCCACCAAGACAAATGTTTCCGATGCGCTCGGTCGATTCGAAGATATAGCCGAGGCTCGACAATGGATGAGAATCGAATTACCTCTCTAGACCTTCACGACTCGGGCTACGAAGATTACAGGAGACACAAATTTTGCAGCCAGTACTGGCTTCTCGGATGTACCGGGTATCGATAAGATACATCGAGCCCTCCGAGGGAGAGACCGGTAACGTCTCGTGGCGTTCGCCTGCGATGGGAGGACGCCACCAGTGACGGGAAACGGTCGGTCCTCCTAACATCGAAAGAACATGTCTGTATGAAATTGACCCGATCAGACTCCGAAGAGAGTCAGAATCGCAGAACACGCCGCCGAAGTGGAAGCAGTTGGAAAAAGGCTCACATACCCGCATAGCTGGGATCTGTGCTTCCGGTGAAAACTTCTGTTGTCGTTTAGCACACTTGTGTGCGAAATGACAACCCACTGCTTTCATCAATCACCGATCGATTCCCTGGATGTACTTGAATCAATCAATTCAAACTTGTTGCATTCCGTTGCCATTTTGCATAAACTTCGAATTGAAACTTTTCTAATCCCACCCATCCCACCCCCTAACCCTCTTTAAGCGTTTAAACTTCCTGTGCTTTCATTCTGCGAGGTCCGACCGGGAAACGGTCGGTCCTCCTAACATCGAAGGAACATTCTTGAATGAAATACGATTGAAACTTCGATGAATCAGACTCCGAAGAGAATCAGAATCGCAGAACATGCTACCGAAGCGGAAGCAGTTGGAAAAAAGGAGCGCGTAGCAGGGATCTATGCTTCAGCGGTGAAGGCTTCCGTTGTCGGGTTCAGGGTTCAAGGTTCAAAAGATTTACGGCAAATCTTACAGTATGCCTGGACCGAATGCATGGTGCTCGAATCCTCCTTGCACACAAATTCTGTGTGCTAGTGCCCGAATCGCCCTTATTTTCACAAGTGCAATGCTACAAGTAGGAATGCTGCCCGATGCTGTGGCAGGTGAATCCGATCATTTTCCAGATCCAGACCATCAGTCAGGCAAGACTTCATGGGGTCGAAATCCCACGGAAACGCGCAAGTTGCACCTGCCAGATACCTGCGGGGGGTGGCCTTTTCATCGAGGGCCCGCTCGGCTTCGAGTTCCCCAATCCCTGCACTCCAGAGGCCTGGTTCTGGGCGCCGAAAGCTCCGATCTTCACATGACTTGAAGTCCTCGGTGCTCGCCAGGTGGCCCCAGCTGCTCGCGGGGCGACGTATCAGGTCGAGCCGATGGCAGGAAGGGTGTTGAGGTGGGCCTTTTGCATGGTGCCGCAAATTTGCAAAGTGCAACCTGTCGCAGTCTGCCAATGGAAGTGGCATGCGGCTTTCAGCAGACGACTGGCCCGACTGGCCGGAGCATCATCAGGCGGGCACTGAGCTTCCTTGGCTCGTGGCTGTGCTTCGTTGCAACATTTAGGCTAACCGCTGGTGCATCCGGCATCATGCCAAGCCCCGAGCTGTTGCCCATGATCGCATTGAGGGAAGCCGTGGCGGTGCCAACGTGTGCAATTCTGTCAGGCCCGGTCTTTACCGTTTCCAGCTGCTCGGGAAAAACCCCGCGACCGTGCTTTGACAGCACCGCGGGGGGTTGGCAGGGGAAGCAGAAGAATTGCTTTGGATTGATGCGTGGTTCAACATCCCGAGGCAGTCGCCAATTCCGTCGACAACACAAAGCTGCCCATTTGCACAGAGTTGGCCGGTTTGGTTGCAGATCATACCGCAACTCAGGCCCTGCATGATGCAGTTCTGCTGGGACTTCCACTCCCTTCGGGTGCCTCAGCAAGTTGTTGTCATGTTGGGCAAAGGGCTCACCGCGTGGTGCATCTCTTCTCTACATCTGTGGTACATAGCTGGAGCTACTAGCTTGTCTCAGTTGCAGGTGATTGGCAATGTCAACACCAAGCTGGACTCAAGCATTAGCATCCCTTCATTCGACATCAATGTGAAGATGGTCGAGGTTCCTGCGGTCAGATGACATGTGTCAGACTGCTTCGCCAAAAACGTGCTGTGTTTCTTCAGGCCCTCATACCTGAGCTGACCAGAGAACAGCAGGCCCCGCGACAAGAGCAAATATAGCACCCACACACACTCTCCCGACACTCCCTTGATGTCCTTCCCTGTGCAGGCAGCCACCGGAAGAGATGTTCCCAGCTGAGACATTTTCATGTTTTCTCGTTGTTTCAGCATGCACGCAGAGGGAGGAGTGTTCATCTGTCTTCAAGGATCGGCCCCTGAGCAGAAATCCCTTGGTCTTCAAGTTGCGGTCTTAGCTTCGCTGGTCTCAGCTCCGGTGTTCCTATGTGGGGGTTTCCGAAAATGGGGGACCCTAATCTAGTACCCTTAATAGTAGGATCCTTATTATAAGGACCCCCAAAACAAGGCACCCCTTACTTTCGGAAACTCCCATGTCTTCCTTGTGGTTTTCGCTTTTTTTGCTTTAAAGGTTCAAGCTGGGGAGCGCTGCCATCTTTTCGGGGACGATGCTGATCAGGCGCCAGAGATTTCCCTCTTACTTAAAGGATCATGGGACTTAGTAAGTAAGGTTATAAGTCCCCTGATTGGTGTTATAAGTATAGTTACTTCGGTTATAACCCTACTTACTAAGTCCCATGATCCTTTAAGTAGAGAGCCCTCTTAGAGCCCTGGCCCCGGCCGCAGCCGCTTTGCAGGGGACCCCTGGGCACCATCTTCCGGGAAGACTGCGCAGAGGACGTTGAAGTCCGACCCACTGAGGCCACGAGATGCACAGAAAACCAGCTGGTAGAAGCATGTGCAAATATGCGCAGTATGGTGCCAGAGGTGTTTGGAACAGGGCAGATGCTGCCGGAAGAGTGCGCTCGGCATTCAATCTGATTCTGAGGCTTGCAGATGCCGTGCAACGCCAAGGTATGCAGTTTGGCCACAGGGTGTCGAGATAGTCAGCTGCAGAGGTGAAGGACCAGATGCAAGGACCCGTTCGTAATCGTCCCTACGGCTGATGTCGTGCAGCTGAATACTGTCTATCAGCATGTCTTGCAGGATAGTGATCGATCCTGGAGTTACGGACGGTGCGCAGTAGAGCTGTTCGAATCTGGAATCGCAGAGTGAGTTGGTCAGTTGTAAGATGGCGTGGTTGCGTGCAACCGCTCCAAGCGTCCAGGCTTATTGTTCGAGGTCTTCTACCCGATTCGCGTGGCCGTCTTGCACAATCCAGTCGTGCAGCCTATCGACAACAGGCATCAGCAAACGTGCGAGCCTCGCCAGTCCGGTAGCTTTCCTCCATCCAGGTGGACTTTGGACTTCAACGGAGAGTCCTCCGACCCTTTTGATGGCTACATGTTATGGACATTCACCAGGAACTGAAGTTTTGCCTGCTGCCTTGGTGACATCCGTGCTTATGAGATGCCCCTTCCTCGCAAGATTGGGTATCTTGGCAGCCGTAGGACATCGCTGCTGACTGCGACGATGGGCCGCTCGACAACGGTGACAGGAGACCCCTTTCTGGCGAATCCTGCTGCGAGCCCAGCTCAAGAGGCTTTTGTCGAAGCCACAGAAAAACGTGCCGATGATGTCGCTGGCAACCAGGTGACTTTCACATTCCGTCCGAAAAACACTGTCAAAGGTGCTGCCTGCTTCCGATTTCTCTTTGTTCATTGCCCTCTCGGATCGTTGATGCTCTCTCAGCACTGTCTGCGGATCAACGAACAGACCATGCCAGGCACTGGCATGATCATCAGGGTGCGTGCTGCCATGATTTGCTTTCGTGGTTTGTGCTGCATTCGTTGTGCATCACTATCTGAGTAGACGTTCTGCCAGCTGTTTACATGCTCTGGAAGTGTCTGTACATCAACTGCAGTGTATTGAGCTTGACTTCGATGGCACAGAGTTGCAATGGGTCTTGTTGCAGACTAATGCTTGTGTGGTCTTCGCAAGGAGAATCAATGCAATATAAACATACAAAGTAGTGCAGCTGTGACAGTGCAAGCACACTTGTAACTCAGCGTAGCTGATGCCTCAGTGTACGGTGGCGTCCGAGTCTCAGAGAAGTTATATAAACCAATCAGATGATTTTGGCAGAGAGATGTGGCTTGGAGGCCGACCCTGCACCCCGGAAGTCTTCATGTAGGCCCATCCATCCCGTGGTGAGCTAAGCGCGAGCTTCAGCGATGAGAGCTATTGAGGTTCTGATGCTTTTGCCGATGCATTTGGCTCAAGAGGACGGGTTCTGAGCTCGGCAAACCCTCCAGCTCGATCCCCTTCCATTTCCATTCTCAAGGCAGGTGCTGGCATGCATCAACTCAATGCCCATGATTGCCTCCTCAGGTCAGCGATAGGGGTGCCATGTCGAATCTTTTGAGGAAGTGCCTGGCAGCAGGCCCGGATAGATAGATTCTTGCAATGCTTCTGCAGCCTCTGAAATGGCTTAACCCCGGCCCGAAGGCATGTTGTTGGAGCCTCTGGCGATGGACCTGTCTTGTGTCACTTCAGGCGGCACCGCCACTGCAAGGGCTTGACAGTAGCACATCTACTTGAGCTCCTCACACTGGTAGTTTAATTGTACCGATATCGGTGAAGCCAGATGCGGAGGCCACGCCATGAGCGAGGATGTCATTGAACAGTGCGAGAGTGATTTGTTGGACGCCCAGGAGGCATGGATCCTGCAGCCATGTTTTCCCTGCCGTCAGTATTGCTGTATGTATGCATGAATACAGTATGCATGCATTTGTGCATGTACGCATGTGCGTCTTGTAGTATGTATGTACGTACGTATGTATGTGGGTGTGTATGCAAGTAGATATGTACGTACGTACGTAGGTACGTATGTATGTACGTATGCATGTATGTATGTCTGTATGTCTGTCTGATTCTATGTATGTATGCATGTATGTATGTATGTATCTATGTATGTATTTTGTATGTAGTGTATGTACTATGTATTGAACGAAACTTAAGTATTGCATGTTTCGTTTGTGCTGTATGTTTTGTGTTTTCTTCATTCTCTGTGCTTGGTACGTATTGTAAGCAGCGATGTATGTATTGTATGTACTGAAGGTATTGTGTGCATGTGCATGCATGTGTATGCACGAATGCATGTATGTGTTTATGGTGGCATGCATGTGTGATTGTATGTCTGTTACTCGTATGCATTCGTGCAGGTATCGGTTTGTGTCTACTAGTGTATATATAGATAGATAGATCGATAGATAGATAGATGGGTAGATATATGTATACACATACACATGCACTTATGTACATATATATATATATATACATATGCAAGCGTGTGTGTGTGTGTGTCTTTTGTCTTCCCGTCCGTATGTACGTTGTTTGCATGCGTACATGTGTCTTCAAATCTGTAGAGATCTGCATCTAGATTTGCACACACTTTTGCATACTAAGATACAGACACGGCTTTACACCGTCTGGCATTTTTGATCACAGTTTTGCACCGTTTGGTAGATCACTGAACAGATATGCCGCCCCAGCCAAAACACCATGTGCCAGTTATGCTATCATATGAATGCTACTTTTGCCTAGCACCCTAAGCCCTCGAGACTTGATCTTTCTGGTGCTCAGGCGTGTGTCTTCTGCAAGAAACCAAGACAGCTCCGGGCAACGGTTTAGGAGTTTCGTTCGAAAGGATTGGTAGGCAGTATGTCGTGCTACGGTGCCGTGAGGGACTGTATGCCGACGCAGCGTAGAGCAACACTACAGTCTGCGACGACTACGGAGTACTGTGCTTCAGCACTTTCAGTCCTACTCTTACTCTGCTGTCCGTCACTAGGATTGCAGCTGAAAGACGGTGACCGCCAGGTCTCGCTGCTGCAAATGGACCATCAAGTAGACCTGCACGGGTCTGCACAGCTGGAAAACGCCGACGACGGCGACGGCGATGGGGACGGAGACGCCGATGCTTTCGGTAACAGCGACTCTTCGAGCACCCCGGTTGCACAAGCCGCTGCGGTTTAGAGAGCATCTCATCCATATATATATATATATACATTCATATATATATATATATATACATACATATATATATATATATTTATGAAAAATACGTGGGGTGTTGTGTTGGGGGGTGGACTCTGTGGACATAACACAGCCGAGGCGCATCACTACGGCAAAACATCACGCTCGAAGAGGTCGCATTTGTGCAGGCTCGCAAACATTGACTATAGAAGCCGCTCAGCTACACGCACGTCATCCTTGCAAGGGTCATCTGCCAGGAAGCTACAAATCGCACTTCAGTGGCACTGCAAAGTCTGGACGTCCTGGGACACCTGGAGTACGAGCTGCAGGCAGGGTCATCAGATGGGTATAGACGTAAATCCGACCGAGCAGATTGTGCGTGAGGTTGGCGCGGGCACCAGCGCCAAAAGCAAGGCCGTTCCGGGCTTGGGAGAATCCACTCAGTCTCCAAGGCAGCGCTTTTTTGATAGGGAATGGCTGTTGTAAGGGCTGTCAGTCCTCTTTGGCTTTGGAGCGAGACCTGCAAAACGAGTGCGGACGTGACCTGTAGCCGAGCCGGCCATTCAGAATGCCTGAGAGGCAGGGCTCTTGGCAGGTGGCCCTGGCTCTGATGGAGCTGACGGTGGTGCCTGGAGTGCTGGGGCTCGATCGATGTTACATGGGTCGATTGCCTGCAAAATGTTCGAAGTGTTGCAAGGAGGCCGTACAAGCACAGGCTGCACAGGTACTGAGACTTGTGCGCCAGAGGTCAGTGCGGCCTGGGGATCGTAAAAGCAGCCACGTTCGGAGGTGCACATTCTGGAAGAAGCTTGTGTCCTTGATTTGCTGGCGTGTCGCTACCATGTTGCTGTGGGGCAGGCTTGACTGTCTGGTTCATCTTCGACTTCTTGGCAGTTGTGATGACCTGCCTGTCAGGGGTGGGGGATTGTCAAATGTAGCTGGTCATGCCGAAAGAGCCACTCAGTGCATGTTGCAAATCCTTTCTGTCCCTGACAGCACAAGTACATGAATGCCTTTGGCATGAAGGGCAAATTTATTGACAACGAGGCTCGCTTGTGATGAGGGAGGAACATGGCTCTTGCAGTCGAAGTGACTTCTTTCTGCCCACATCGTCTGCATGCAGATCACCTTCGCATTCTGGTTGGCCCTGGTGTGGATATTGGGCATGTTCATGATATGCTGCACGCAGTCCGTCCCTTGATGCATTTGGCTTCGCATTGCCTGGAGCTAGACCAGCGAGGCTGCTGCCATAGCATTTAGACGATGGTTGGCTGAAAGAATGCTGCAGCAGTTTGGAAGACTCTGGCACAAGGTCAAGATGATGACAAGGCCGACACCAGTGCCAGGAAAGAATTCTCCATGACGGGTGCTTTGGAATGCAAGATTAAACATAGTACGAAACAATCAAGAGTGTTTTTGGTTTACGAGCCGTTTTTTCTGTGCAACCATCGCTTGCATCGAGTTCAGGTGATGCGCTCGACGTGCTCGATGTTGTGTGCTGCATGCCACATCATGTTTCACAAATCAGACTTGGCCAAGCAGCCGAAATAGAGTGCGCCGCGATCTCGTGCTTGGAGAGAATGCCATCAGAAGTGTCTTTTTTCGCGTTTCCTGAGGTGGGCGCTGCATGCGCGCACTTCCGAGGAGGACAAGAAGGACGACAAAAAGGACGAGAAAGCAAAAGTAAAGAAGAAACAGCGCCGCCCACAGCAACGCCGGCGGGATTGTCACTAGAGAAGTTCTTGCCCGCAAATCTTCTTCCCTTCAGTATCAAGTCAGCTGTGCTTTTCATAATCACGTGAGTCTGTCCTGTGGCTCATAGTCATCATAATAGTATTAGTAACGATCATATTGATAACAGCAGTTATAATAATAACAATAATAACAATAATGCGGTAGTAGTAATAACGATAATACAGATACTAATAATAATAACAATAAAGTTTAAGAACATGCTCTGGATGTGAAGCCTGGCCAGGTGGAAGGAGAGGCATCAGTTAGTTTGGAGCAACGATACTCAGGCACCGAATACGCGGTGCTTCTTGGCCGCATGCTGCTGGAATGTTGTAGGGTTCCCCTGTACATGATTAAGCAAATAAACAGTCACATATATATATATATATATATGTATATTATGTGTATGTCCATATTCATATGTATATACTTATATTTATAGAATTTATAGATAGAAACCTCACTGGATCAACCGCAGCCATGAATCTGCCCCTGCATGCCTCCGTAGAGGAGAAAGAGCCGAAAACACCGCACATGCCTCGGTTTAGGGGTTTAGGGTTTAGGGGTTTAAGGTTTAGGGTTAAGGGTAAAGTGGCACTCGTTGCCTTTATCCGAAACTTGTAGGCAGCATACAACAGTACCAAGAAGCAGGGTCCGAGTCCAGTTTCGTGGCCACAGTTCTTAGTACACACGTCTGTACACCTTGCTCAAGATCGCTTTCCATTTCTAGACTCGCTGTTTTGCCATTCTATGAAGCGTGGCGGTGTAATACAGGGCAAATAGAATATGTGTGTATATATATATATATATGGGGCAAATATACATATATATATATATATGATCCCGGTTCGGCCGGCCCCTCCCCCCTCCCCCCCCAATGGTTCCTC